ACAGGATGGTGCTTCAGGAGAGGACTCTGACATGTAGTCAAGGAGCTGGTATCCATCGCCTCCTCTCCTGTGTTTGGTTTGGGATGCCCAGGTGCAAGCATCTGAGCTCCAACGTCTCACCCAGGCATGGGTGTCTTCTGCCATTTGAGACTCGTGGGCTGAGGCCGGCACATGGGATGGGCTGAGGCCGGCACATGGGATGGGCAGAGGTGACAGGGGACCCACAGGACACCAGGCTCTTGGGACCACGTGGGTAAGTCTGGGGGCATCTCGAATGGCTCTGCATGGTGAGATGAAGGTATTTGGTACCCCAGCAAGGCTAAGGACACCCTGAGTCTCATCACTGCAAGGCCCAAATCCAGCCAGAGGATGCCTGAGTTCCTCCCAGGGAGGAGAAATGGGGCCAGCATCTGCAAAAGCAGCTCTGCTGCAGAAAGGGACAGCTAAGCCTGGACTCCTGGGTGCTCATGCCCCATGGCTTGTAGTGGATGAGACATGGGGATACCTCCCCTGCCTCTCCCCCTGTATGGGGCTGACAACTCTGATGGCTTCCCCTGGAAGAAGGTGATGGTCCTGGTCCAGGCGTCTGCTGGGTACCAGGCTTTGGACAAGACACGGCAGTGTGGCTAAGCAAGAAACTAAATACGCCCCATCAAATGACCCTGTACACTCGGTGCTGCACTGGGGGAGGAAAGCGTGGCTGACCCCTTCTTCTGCTGTTCCCCTTCATGCTCAAACTAACCCCTACCTCGTTAATTTGGCTGACCCCATGGTAGTGCTGTCCAAAGTGATGCGGGGCAAGAAATTGTAGTGACAGAGCCTCATTGAGAGTGGCCACGAGGCAGACACCCCGCCGGGTCGCGTGCATTGCTGCACTAACCAGGCAGCCCTGCAGCCCCCTGCCCACATGGACATGCAATATTCCTGCCGCGGAGCAGCGGCTGGCTCTGGGTGCATCTTGCTGGGCGAAGAGCTACGTGACCTGGTGTTGTTTTGGCTCACAGCTATCCAAGAAGTTCTGAGAACAATTTCCATCTGATGTGTTAGGTCAATGCAACCTGTGAGATAATCAGGACTCGTATATACTGGAGATGGAGAAGGTTTATGAGGGCCACCAGCCCATGCTCCCACAGATCTCCAGTCCCATGGCTGGGAAAGGCACCTGAACTGAGACTGGAAAAAATGAAGAAAAGGTCTCCTGGAGTGATGGTCATCAAAAAAACCTTAGTGAGGGGTCCATGACCAGGGGGCTGGATCTTCAGACACCTTGGGGCGAGGAGAAAGAGCCAGGGAGGGAGAAGAACAGGGAAGTTAAACATTAGCTACTCTAAGACACAACACTGAAAACACTGGAAATGAGATTAAAACTTGATCAGTTTAGGGAAGGGGTTATCTGAGGTGGACCACTGTGTTGGGCAAAAAGCTGGATGCAGGAAGAAGATCCAGCTCACCTCTATCTCTACCCTAAGCCATCATCATCCCCCTCCTTGACAGCAATGGGAGAAAAATGAGCCTCTGAATCCTTGCTGGAGCATTGCCCATGTTCATTAGGATTCGGGCCACGGAGCAGGATGATCTGAGATGCAGGTGGTGATGGGTGGAGTGGGTTTCTGCTCCAGGTGCCTGGAGAGAGTCGAGAGTTTTTAGGATGTGCATCCTGACACCATCTACATCACACTTTGCCTGGTTTTGACTCAGCCTGCTCCACTTTGGATGGCCTCCTCCAAACAGCTGCCTCCTGATGGTGTTGGTGCCATCAGCTGTGCCCCCGTCATCTTCTTACACTGCTGCCCCATTTTTCCCCTCGACACCCACTGGCTTCTCCCCAGGGAGAGCAGTGCTCTCCTGGCCCTGCCCGCTGTTTCTCTCCACAACGCTTCTGGTGCTTTTTAAGGCTTTTTGCAGGAAGGTCTTTTAGTCTTTCCCCTTTCCACTCTGTCATGGTGCCTGCATCCCTTCATGCCCATCAACGCACATGCTGTTGCGGGCTATGGCACAGAGTCCTAGGGCAGAACAATATATTTAAATATTCTTTGTTTATTCAAATACAATATACCTAACAGACCAGTATTTTATTTGCTGCAGGCTTACCCAGCTTCTATGAGTCTGCTGATGGTCAGCCTCAAGACTCCTGTTGCCATCATCGCTACTGGATGTATACATCTTGCCTTCTTCTTGAGCCTGTGGCTTCTCCTCCCTTCTTGGGTGTAACAAGCTCTCTGCTCTCCGCAGGTCCTCTCCCAGATGACTTTTGGGGGTTGCTAACTCATGTCCCACCAGTTCGTATGACCATGGTGGACTCTGCCACCTCAGCACTGACCCCATGTCCTTTTTCGCATGGTCCCTTTTGATATGGCCCCTTCACTGTTGCACCTGAGCGTGATGGGAACCCCTGAGCATGGCTGCTGTGTTCACAGGGAGCGCTGAAGCCCCTCCTGGGATTTGTCTTAATGTTGGCACTGAATCCCACACCCGCGGGACCACCAGCTCCTTGGTTGGACACCCATCTTCCAAGGCTTCTCAGGTTCAAGGAGGACCTCCTTAGCCCAGATCAGAGAGGACCAGGTCAGAGAGGACCTCCTTGGCGCAGGAGGAATGGACACTTGGCCCATCTGGGAGGCTGGTCCTAAATTTTGGTGCCATCACCTCTCTCAGGCTGAGCAAAGATGGGAGAGGAATTGGTACCGCTTTCTCCTTAGGGTTGGAGAAGATACCACCCGGCTCCTCTCCTGGCACTGAGGACATGACGTTTTCCTTTTGTCTGCTCCGTGCGTAGACCAATGGGTCATCTGGCCTCAGCGTAGACCTTGGTGTGTGCCCAGCTACCTCTGTGCTTCCTCGCCATGCCGGCCAACTCCTCTCCATCTCCCAGCACATGGCTGAGGTTTGGCTCCAGCTCCGTGCTCTGGGTCTGGGGTGGGTGCAGGCCTGGGTGCAAGGGGTTGATAGTGCTGGTGGGCCAAAGGAGCCCAAATCTGCTGCAGTCCCACCAGGCTGGGGTTGTTTGGGGCATAGGGGTAAAACAGACCCATCCCCCTGATGCACATGCTGCCTCCTACCCTAATTTCCCCCCCAGTCCTTTTCCCCTTCCCGGTGTAAGTGATACTGGGATGCCCCCCCCCAAAAAAAAAAACCACACACAAGGCACTGCACAGATCATGAGAAAACAAAAGAAATGCCAAGGCAGTTTATTTACAACCGTTGTATACAAAAAAAGGACAGCTCGTGCCACAGTTAGAACAGCCCCCTCCGTCTCCTTCGCCTGCCGCCCTCCCCCGTGCTCCCCTCCCCGGGCTGGTAGCCCCTGGGGCTCCGGAGTCCAGGCGAGCATCTCGTGGCACAAGAAGAGACACGGTTCCCTCCAGACCCAAATCAGTGCTTGGAAAGTCTTGTCTGGCCATAGTGGAGATCAAACCCTCTGTTAGCATCAGGGTTGGAGGCTGATGAGGTGCTAGGGCATTGCAGCACTGGGACCACTGCCACTCCTAACTGGGAGAGGAAGGGACATCCCCACCCGCTTCTCCCACTGGGAAGGATCTCACTTCAACCTCTCTGCTTCGCCCCTCCCTGGAGGCAAAGATCACCCAGGGGATTGCACAGCAGCTCCCACAAAGCATCTCCTGGGCTGGTCACGAGCTGTTGGTGGGGTCCCAAACTGGCTTTCCTCCTGCCCTGGTGTCACCAGGAGGTGCCATTGCTGTTCCCAGGGGCTCCCTATGGCCGTTGTCTTCTCCAGAGAGGCATCTCCATTCCACCTCTGGCTCTCCAGCCTGGGCTCCCCTGGCTCCTCTTTCCAAAAAAAACTTTCCCTCTTGTTTTACCCCGTCCCTTCCATCACGGTTTCCACAGCCCTTCCCTGTTTTCCTCTCCTGCTTTCGCTCTCCACGGGGGTGATCTGCCTTTTCAAATAACCACCTCTAAAAGCTGATGGCTTTCCAGCTGCTCTAGCGCAGAAAAGGGGATTTCATCCAAGAGTTCCCACAGAGATGATCCTCAGGAGATTCTTACAAAAAACCAAGCAGCTCTTGGGAAAGTCACGGGGCTTTTCAATTTCACCCTTCAATAGGACCATCAGCATCTCCTAGAGCCAGATAAAGCCTTTGGAGCAAGCAGGCCTCACTCTCTGACCACCTCCAATGGGAGGGGTCTCTTCTCCCCCTTCCACAAAATGGTTCTGTAAGGTCTATGGTCAAATAACGCCCGCTTCGGGCAGGTGGCCCTGAGTCCAGGCAGGAAAAAGGGAGGGAGGGACACCAAGAGATGCCGCTACCCCTCGATGGAGTGGGATGGAGGAGAAGAAGGAAGCTGGAAGGATGCCCACCTGCCCGCCCTGCCTGCCCAGCACCAAATTAAAGTCACACACGACGCACATTCCCCCCCCTCTTCCCTCCCCACCCGCTCTGTCCCCCCCCGGCTTTTCCCCGGGGGGCCACCTCCTCCGCTTCGCCAGCCCTCGGCTGTCTCCTCCGGACCTGGTTGACGGGTGGCTCATGAGACTCACCAAGGAGGT